CTGCCTCCCAAGTGCTGGGATTAAAGTCATGTGCCACCATACCTGGCCACTTTTTTAATCTCACAAATTAGATTTAGTTACTATTAAGCAGCATTCATTTATATTTGTAATTTTACACTTTCTTCTTTTTGGGGGGGGAGTCTTTTTGAGACAGGGTCTCCCCTGTAGCCCCAGCTATCCTGGAACTCACTATGTAGACCAGGCTGGCCTTGAACTCACAGAGATCTGCCTGCCTCTGCCTCCTGAGTGCTGGGATTAAAGGTGTGCACCACCACGCCCAGCTTCTTTTTTTTTTTGGTATATTTTCTTTACTCACAGGTCTTGTAATCCAGACCCCACCACATACAACACATTCTGTCTTCCTAGACTAGTTCTTTTGTGGAAGTCTATTGTTGGTAAGTAGGGCTCCTGCATTGTGCTTGCTATATAGAATCTATTGACTGATTCTTCCTGAGCTGGTGGCATGGCTCAGTGGGGGCGTTCTTGCCTAGGATATGAGAAGTTCTGTCTGCCGATTCCCCAGCACTTCAAGTAAATAGGAGTGGTGACCCTTGATTGCATAACATCATGGCCTGTTGATAATACTTTGTAGCTCTTCCCATTGTGACCACGTTAAATCAGTTTCATTTTTCTGCTTTTTACTACTAATTTGGCCCTTTTAAATTGGCTTCTCAAGGACAGGTAGCCAAATCTGTCTTCTTTGGGTATAGACTGCAACCCCAAATTTGGTGACATTGTATCTGAGGCTGTCTTCACATCATCCTTGTCTTTGAAAGGTAGAGGTGATAGCTTGATTCGTATTTGTAGGCTGGAGGTTGTGCTGGGGCTGGCAGGGCTTCCTCCTCCCATCTTCATTTTGCTGGCTTTCAGCCCAAGCGTTTTCTTTGGGAGTTAATCTGCTTTGTCCCTGGCTGCTTTGAGGTCCTTTTGTTTTCAATGTTGTGTTGCTTTGTTGCAGGAGCCCGAGTGTGCATCTCTTCTTTAAGCTTTTGTCATCTCCTTCCTGTGTTAGATTTTTTTTTTTTCAATTCAGAAAATTTCTTAGCCACTGTCTCTTCACAAATCAAAATTTTCTTCAATTGTCTTTTTTTTTTCCTTTTTCGTGGTGGTGGTGGTGGTGGTGGTGGTGGTGGTGGTGTGTGTATGTGTTTGTTGTACTTGGAATTGAATCTAAGGCCTTACACATATTAAGCAGCACTACTGCTGAGCTGTTACCCAGTCCATTTTCTGTACTGTTTACACCAGGGACTCCAAACTTACTCTTGTTCTGTTTTTCTCCTTTTATATGTTTTGTCTTCTCCACTACCTTTTAGGTCAGAAGTTGACAAACTTCTTTGTTTGGTCTTTTTTGGAGACAGGGTCTCCCTGTATAGCCCCAGCTGGCATGGAACTTACTGTGTAGAGGCTGGCCTTGATTTCAGAGATCCAACCTCCTCTGCCTCCCGAGTGTTGGGATTAGAAGGGGTGCACCACCACGCCTTGCTGGTAAACCTTTTCATAAAATGTTAAATGGTAAAAGCTGGACATGGTGATTCACACATGTAATCCCAGCACTTGAGAGACTGACAAACAAGGATTGCCCTGTATTTGAGGTCAGCCTGGGTCTGCAAAGCAAGCCACTGTCTCACACAAAAACCAACCAAAGACAGGAAGAGTTATATGGCGAATACTATTTAGGCTTTGGAGGCCAAGAGGCAAAAGCCCGGAGATATTCTGTAGGAACTTCTTAGGCTTTATAGCATCAGTTTGTGCTTCTTTCATACCCATAAGCCTAAAAGGGAAGAAAAGTCTTCCACACTGTGTATCTGGCCCAAGAGATCCTGTTAGCTCTCTCCTTTCTATAGCTTGCTAATAAAAGAATGTTGGACTTTTTGAAGCACAAGGACTTAGGCAGTTTGAAAATGGAAGCCAGCACATCTCTGGGGGACATTTATGACCCTACACCGAGAGGTTCATTTCTGGCTGTCATATAGAATCTTGTGGGAGGTCTCTGTGTCTCAATGTCTTGTTTATTTTTCTCTTTTAGGTCCACAAGGAAGTCTTCACGAGGAGCAGTGAGAACTCAGCGTCGTCGACGTTCTAAGTCTCCTGTTCTTCATCCTCCAAAGTTCATACATTGCAGTACAATAGCATCTCCTTCCAGCGGTCAGCTCAAGCACAGAGGCCAGACTGAGCCTCCTGATGGCAGCAGTCGGCTGGGAATTTCAGCCCCTAAAGAGTTCAACACAGGAGAAAGCTCTCCTTCTCTTGATGCCAATTGCACTGGAGTGGTCATTGAGCCTTTGAGAACTTCGGTTCCAAGGCTCCCATCAGAGAGTAAAACAGAAGAGCCCTCTGATGCTACCCATGTCTCCCAAGCAAGTCTCAAGGCCAATGAGCTCTCTGACTTTCGATCCGTTTCCAAGCTAAGCCAGGGCAAGCCATGTGCATGTGTAGGCAAGGAGTGCCAGTGTAAGAGGTGGCATGATATGGAAGTGTATTCCTTTTCAGGTCTGCAGAATGTCCCTCCTTTGGCCCCAGAGCGAAGATCCCTTGAGGACTACTCCCAGACATTGCATACCAGAACTCTGTCTGGCTCTCCTCGCTCCTGTTCTGAGCAAGCTCGAGTCTATGTGGATGATGTGACCATTGAGGACCTATCAGGCTACATGGAGTATTACTTGTATATCCCCAAGAAAATGTCCCACATGGCAGAAATGATGTACACCTGATAACAGGATGCTGACTCATGTGCTTTAAACCAATGAAAGGTTGTCAAGAGGGTTAAGTTAAAGGCAGACCTTGTGGCCACTCTGAGAAGACGTCTCTTTCTGCTCACTGTGCTTGCAATAAAAACTGTACTTGGCATCTCAGTTAATCTTCATTCTTTCAGTTTACCTACACATTAAGGCAAGCAGGTCAGAAAAAAAAAAAAAGGAAAAAAAAAAAACAACTTCCTCTCCTAGAAATGTTCCTGATGGCTGAAGAAACTGTAATCACCTAAGACTGGCGACAGTGGGTATATGGTGGAATCCTTTGTAAAGCAGCAGTTTTCAGACCTGCTTAAGAAGTAGCAGCCAAGAAAATCAAATGCGGTTTTGGAACTGAACTGAACGCTTGTCATATTGTAAGATGCCAGCTGAAAATATTAGAGATTATAAGACTCATTTAAACTGTTTCTGATTTAACGCAGGATTTTGTGTCATTAAAGTTTCTTATGTTGAGCCAGAGATCTAAGGTTTAGATTCAGTTTGAATAAACAAGGTGACCTGTCCTGTATTGTTTGAGAGAGTCATTAACTTTCTATCACTTATTAAATAAACCCCAGTTGGTGCTGTTTATTCAGAGACATGTGTGAAGTTTCTCAAGCTGGTTGGAGTGGGCTGCTTTGCATGGGAGGGTTGAAACTAGTGCATATCATCTCCATCTTGCATCTCCATATATCACATGGTTTTTGTTTTGTTGGTTTTTTGAGACAGGGTCTCCCTGTAGCCCTAGCTGGCGTGGAACTTAGTAGACCAGGCCAGCTTCAATCTTAACAGAGATTTACCTTCCTTTGCTTCCTGCATGAACTGCCCTTCCACTCAGAAGAGAATTTTGTGCTTGTATCCTAGTATGTTTCTGGTTAGCTATCGTAAAATAACCTCCAAAATTTGATTTAAAAGCTTGTGCTCATTTTGACTGGGAGTATGAATCCTTACCTTTTTCAGGTGGTTTCAATTTTCTTTGTAGGTACCATATAGTTTCTATTGTAATTCACACTGCCCTATGCATACCCACTGAATGTCCTGAAAAAGTCTTAGCCATGGAACCATGGTAGGAAATTTGATTTAGATTGCAGATTGAGCTGTCCCTGTTCACTGAAGCCCCCACTGGCCATACAGTTGACCTATGACAATGGAATCCGGGCTTCACAGATGAGTGATTAGGTATGAAACCTAAACTTAAGCATTTAGTGATGAGAAGACTGTGGTAGGAACAAGGAGGCAGCATGGCACTGCGCTGAACTGGCACACCATTGCTGTGACTGGTGGACCGTGTGTATGCAAGGTAGCAACTCCGAGTTTTGGTTCTTTACACTTAGATCTCAGATTTTATATGAATTATAGCTCAATATTTTTGTACTAGAAAACCCATCACAAGCGTTTTAAAAATGAAAATTGGCTTTTCCAGAACAAAAAATACTTGAGAGTGGCATTATTTACAGTTTTGCACATCTCTTCAATGTGTGGCTTTATAGACAACATTTGCATTCATTCAGGACACCACTATGTCATTGCCAGTGAACCTTACACACTTTGGGGAGAGTAAGTGCCTGTGCTGGGTAGCTTTAGCATAAACTTGACACACCTGGGTTGAGGGAGCCTCAATAGGGAAATTGCCTCTACTGGACCAGCCTGTGGCCATGTCTGAGGGGCATCTTCTTGATGAGTGATGTGGGAGGGCCCAGCCCACTGTGGGTGGTGCCACCCCTGGGCAAGTAGGCCTGTGTTGCATAAGAAAGCAGGCTGAGCAGGGGCCAGGGGAGCTAGCCAGTAAGTAGTGTTCCTCCATGGCCTGTGCTCTAGCTCCTGCCTCCAGGTTCCTGTCCTGAGTTCCTACCTTGGGCTCCCTGATGAACTGCCACCCGGGAGATGTAAGATAAATAAACCCTTTCCTCCCCAAGTTGGTAGTGGTCAGAGTGTTTTGTCACAGCAATGAAGAAACAAACTAAGACAGTGTCCATGCCATGAAAACTGGCCTTTCAGAAGGTCCAGGCTAGAATTCCCAGACCACACAGAACCACTTCAAAGGACAATTGATTATAAAGGTGCTACTTCCAACACAACTAGTGTCTGTCTATACCTGTAAGGAAGGTATTTGTAATTAGCTCCTTAAAGCAGGATAGGTTCCAATTTTTTTTTAAGTTCTTAGAAAAGGACAAAATTCCATTGAAGAAGCCAGACATAAGCTTTGGTATTTCAGATTTGTGGGCATAAGTCACAAAGTATTCATAGCTCAGTTGAAATCTTCCTCAAAACACTAATCTTGCTGAATGAGGTATCACCTGTAATTCCAACACTCAGACTGAAGCAGGATTGAGACTGAAGGCCAACCTGGGCTACATATCCAGACTATCTCAACAAAATAACAAAAACCTGACAACCATGAACACAATGAATCTTGAAGTTAAAATTTCTGTTCAATTGGGCATGTCCCTTATGGAACATAAGACTTGTGGATGTGACTCACCACATGGTTTTAGCCAGAAGGCCTAGAAGTGATGCAGATGTGACTTCAAACTAATCTCTGATGCATCCTGAGAAATGGATTGTGGACAGAAGGCATATGAATTGTACTCATTCTGAAGAATGGCCTCCTGGTTCCCACGTGCTTTTATCTTGGCCTTTACTGCAGGTCTCTCCTTTGTAGCACAGCAGGCTCATTGTACCAGGTATTGGGAACACAGCAGGTGGAACAACGCCTGTGAAGAGAGGTGATGGACACAAGCAGCTATGGACTGGGATGGGCTGGGGCAGGGAGCTGGGATTTCTATTTTCAGGTCAGAAGCACCAGTGACAAAATAACGGAGAAGCGAGGGAGTGAGCCTTGTCGACGTGAGGAAAGAGCACCCTTGACAGAAGAAATCTCAAGAATCTACATGCAGCCTAAGCAGGTGAGGTCAGAGGTGCCAAGTGGAGTCAGTTTGTGGAGAGGGTGGGTGGTTTGAAAGGCTTTGACTGCTAGTGTGAGTGAGAGAGCCATGTGGTGGATGTGTAAAGGAGAGAGATGGGGCTGGAGAGATGGCTCAGCAGTTAAGAACACTGATTGTTCTTGTAGAAGACCCGGGTTCGAATCCCAGCACCCACATGGCAGCTAACAACTGTCTGTAACTTCAGTTCCAGGGGATCTAACAGTCTATTCTGGTCTCCAAGTGTATTGTATGACATGGGTTCATTGACACACATGCAGGCAAAACACTCTTACACAGAGAATGAAAATCAATCAATCAATCAATCAATCAATCAATCAATCAATCAATCAAGCACACGTGGCTGAGGACATGTGCCTGACGTCACGGTGGCTGCGTCGCCTGCCTCTGTCTCCCAAGTGCTGGGATTAAAGATGTGTGCCACCACTCCTGGCCCAGCAAAGCACATTTTTGTGTGAAACCATTCCGTCAAACTCACTTTGGTAGTGGTTCGTCTTTGTGTGTGTGCACATGTTGCATGTAGGCATGTGTGCATGTGTGTACACGTGTGTGCACGCATGTACAGGTGCACACGTGAATGTATACATAGGTGTGTGCAACGTGTACAGATGTAATGTGGAAGTACACGTGTGCACAAGTATGTATGTGTGTCTGTACATGTTTGTGCAATGTGTACAGGTGCGTGGATACATACAAGTGTGCACAAGTGTGTGTCTGTGTGTCTGTGTAGGTGTGTGTATGTGTGTGTAATGTGTACAGGTGCACTGCGGATACATACAAGTGTGCACAAGTGTGTCTGTGTGTACATGTGTGTGCAGGTGCACATGTGTGCATGTGCATACAGAGGTCAGGAAACAGCCTCATGGGGTGTCCCTCAGGTGTTGTCTACCTTTTCTTTCTTTTGAGACAGTATCTCTTACCAGCCTAGAACTCACTGAGTAGACTAGACTGGCTGGCGACT